CTCTTCCATTTTTTTTGTCTCCGTTTCGTGAGATGATCAAGAGGCGGCAGAGCTTTACTTGCAGATAAAAGCTAGGAAAAATCTGATGTAGGATAATGAATAGGCATTTACCACTGCCAGAAAATTCGGATTCTTGGATATTGAATGAAAAGAAACAGCGAAGGGTGGGAGAAATTGGGGAATGCAATTGGAAAGATATTATGCACTCATTATAGTTTACAAAAGCGTATAAATGTATAAGGGTTTCGAGAGAAGAGTTTTGTTGCAGGTCAACGCTCCTCTCTTATGAGCCAGTTATCCTTGTTCACATATTTTTAGAGGGAAATGAGGGGGAAAAAAGAGAGAACACGTTTTTCGTATTCACATACGCAGTAGTTTGTAAGAAGCGATTAGGATCGTCACTGCCAAGACGTCGCGAGTTCAAAAGATTCTAACGAATAACGATCAAACTTTGTTTGCGCCATATAAAATCTACGTCATGTTTATTCTTATTTATACGTATTCAAGATTCAAAGTTCATCCGAATAAATCCTAATAATAAGTCTATAAGTCAGGAGAAGATGAGTATAACCGCATAATGCGTAGGCAAACAGAAATTCATGTCTGATATAAGAATGCTCGATATAAAGTATCGCTGTATTCTTTATACTGATGCATGATTTCTTTTATACACATTATTATGTTGTTATGCAAATTTGTTTGGATAGAATTTAATAAATCAATGAAAATAAAAGATCAATTCCGAATTGACTTTGCAGACTTTGTATGTACAGTAATCGTCATTAATATTTCTTATGGATTTGACATCTTTGGATCGGATGTTTTTTTAGATATTCGCTTGTCACGACTATTGATTAAAAAACATTTTATATTCTTATCAATTCAATATTTCTAATCTATTATTTTTTTTTATCTTATATTTACTTTTTCATACACAAACATCTGCCGAACACTTAAAATTGTCCAAGTATCGGATACGATACACTGATCATAAATGAGCTATAACGCATGAATATTTACGCGTAATAAATCTGATTCAAAAATTTCTTAGTCCCCAAAGTAGAAGGCATTAATGAAATTTTACTATTATATGTACATTGTATCACGGTATGATTTGGACCAAACTCCAATCAACTTACGTGGCAACGCGTAAGTAACGTCCGTAACATTTTGTTAATAAGAATAAATTATCAATTTTGTATTCTTTAAAAAAAAAATTAAATTACGGAACAACGTAATACAATTAGAAATTTTGCGATTACGTTAATCGCCGATTGAGTTAATTGGAGTTTATTCGTCGATCGGACAAGTTAGCAAAATTATATGATTCCCCCAGGATTTTCCATGGCTCATTTTGATTTATTCGTATTTTTTACTTTATCGAGCAAGTAATTAGAGTTTAGTTAAATTCATTTTAAAAGCGCATAGTTATAGATGTAAGGCTATCAACATGTAAAAAAACAGATTCTTTGCGTTTGCGCGAATATATATACACTCACGTGACAAAGTCACTGAAACATTGTCTCTTTTTTTATAAGTTTCGGAATATATTCAATATATATAATAGAAAAAATTATTTTCTGGGAATAATTAGAATTCCGTAATATCCTGATCTGAATATATTAGGTGTTGGAATTAATTCGTAGCGTTTTTCATGTTACAAATTTTTAGTACACATATACTATCAGGATATTTCGCAACACATCTTCAAAAATTAATCGGAGTATCATTAAGTATCGGATGTTTCCGCTAGCGACAGTATGTCCAATATAAATAAATGTGCAATAGAGAACAAAAATGCTGATATAGCATGATTGAACTGCACTTGCACTGAATTTCTTCCTTTTAGCGATCGATTAATCGACTAATCGCTAGAAGATGCTAGGAAATGTATAGTGGGAGAAGCTTAATATGGATAAGTTTAAGGATTCAGTTTCACTGTGCTTTTGAACCGGACGTTTTTGCTCTCGATTGTACAAATATAAACTCAGTGCGTTGCACTTTTTGCAAGTGCAATTGCAAAAAACCGATAATTTGAACAAAAATCGATGATATATTATCCCTCTCTATTTAGATCGTGCTAATGTTACGCGAAATATTATTAGCGATAGTTGAAATATTCCAAAGTATATATATTTCTCTATCTGAGATTCATCCGAAAAATGTTTTTGGGCCTCTTATGGCAGATATCGATATAATATAACAAGATTAGCAAGCACTCACTTTTTATGTTATATATGTACATATGTGCGCGTACATATAGATAAAATTGTGCGCGCATGTATTAATATTGTAACTTAATAAATAATAATAATAATAAAAATAATAATAATGACAACAATAAAACACAATATGATATAAAATAAAATAATAATTTGGATAATCAATTATAATACTATATACATGCTAATCAATAAAACAACGAATGTTTGACAAATTATTACAATTTAATATAAGGATTATCATATATAAAATGACATAAGCTGCATAAACATAAGGTAAACCAACGAACATTTTATGTAAATCAATATGGTATTTTTATGTCGGACACTCATTGATTCAGCTTATGTCATTTTGTGATGACTTTATAACTGTGTGAATCTTGCATATAACATGCGGCAAGAAGCGACATGGTATAATAGGTCACCCCTCCCCCCCTCATGCTGTTATCGACTTTTTATAATTTTATTTTTATTTATTATGGTCAAAAATTTCATTTACAATCGTTTCTTTTCTTAAACTCGCTCATATCTCTCTCTTTCTCTCTCCCTCTCTCTGTTTTTGAGAGTTTCAAGTTTATAAATATATGTAATAGATATACGAAATATAATAAATCTTCATTCATTTTAGTTAATTTTTTACATTTTTTGTATATTCAAAGCAAAACATATCTAGGGTCGATCGAAAAATTCGTTTTTTTTTCATATGATTTTAATGTAAATAAAACATAAATGAAGAAAATGAAGCTTTTGATCTCAGTCTAACATATAATATTTAAATTTATGTATATATATAAAAAAAGCGAACGAACCCTAATATATATTTTTAATTTAATAAATTTTTAACTCTTAATATTTTAAATATAACTATTTATAAATATATGTTTATTAACATAATACATTCGTTCGTTATTTTCCTGTACAATTCTAATATTAACAAATAAAAAAAATAAAAAAATTAATCCAAATCTCAATAATCTGAATCAAATTAATATATTACACATTATTGCAAATTCAGACTATATTTAATATTTAATACAATAATCACTAAAATATTGGAAATCCAAAAGAAACAATCTCGCGAAATATTTTTATCTTTCTTAACATAATATAAGGAAAAAATATTGACATATATTCTTTACAATTTTCTTTTACAGTTTTTCTGTACGATGATAATAATATGCAAGAGCGTGTAGGTTATATATTGTTAAAATTTGACGATGACATTCAATGCAATGTTATAATCTTAGATATTTTTTTTCATATAATCGTCTCAATGCATATGAGAAATATTATAAGCATAAAATTATTTACACGCTTCGGCTGCAGAGAAAACAATAAAGAATGAATAGAGAGAGGGTAAGTATATAAATTGATATTAATACTGTTGAAATGATTAAATTCTCGTGGAAGATTTGAATAAAATTTGAATTTAAAAAACAAAATAAACAGAATCTAAATTTGCTTTATTTAAACTAGGAATTTACTTTATCTTCAATTCAATGCACGCAATAATTACGGCTCAAATCATAGCTCCTAATACCTAATAAACAAATTTATTTGCAAATTTATGTAGAAATATCTATCTAAAATTGAAAATATATTTTTGTATTAAATATTAAATATCAGACTGAATTTCTTATTAAATTGATCAAAAAAATTTTTGATACTATACAAATCTTATATATATATATATACATATATATCCACGTTTTCGAGAAATTATTCTACCAAACATATCTCTCGTACATACATATATATAAAATCTTATTAATAAATAAAACAAAAACAAAAAAAAAAACAAAATGAAAAAGAAATAAATGTTTTTGCTTAACTTAATTTATAAATCAGATAAGTAAGGAAAAGATCGAGGTCGATATCGCTAATATATTATATTTTGGAAGAGGAAGAAGGGAACGAAGAGAGGAGGAAGAAAGAGAGAAAAAGAATTAAAAAGAAGAGTACTAATAAAAATAAAGAAACAGATTTGATATTATAAGAATCGAATGAAATATAGTCTAAACTAATCTAGTTTAACACTCTAGTATTACACAAATTTACAACCTTCTATAATCTATAGATTTAACTGACATCGCTCCCATCTCTATATATAAGTTTCCACTTCACATAATTTTACTAAAATCCGGTGTATTTCCGGTGATAAAGATTAGCTTTAAATACTGCAAGCGCTAAAAACGATCCTTATTCCTATTGTCTATACGGATGAAATTTTCATACTGAAGACGCGCGCTGTGTTCCTTACAAGTTAATTGAATTTCTTTACATATAGTCATAAAAGATAACAAAAAAAAAAAAGAAAAAAAAGGAAAAAATATTTAAAATAGAGAAATTGAAGCTATTGAACATAATACATGCTAAATATTCAACTGTTATCCTTTTATTTTCTTTTAATATTTATTGTTTGCGAATAAGTAATAAGCTGACAAAAAATTTGTAGAAATATTGAAAAAATGAAAATTAAAGCATGTAAGCATATGAAATTGATTTGCAACTAAAATTTGGAAAAAATATTTAATTTTTGAGAAGAAAAAAGGAACATGTATAATTTCAGGTTTACTTCAATTTCCCGTGCTGTAGATGTGTGAAAATATTCTTTCTTTTTATTTATTAATACTTTATTTTTTCTCTTGTTATTTCTTTTTCTTTTGCTCTTCCTTCTTTTCAATTATTCTCGTTTTTCCCTATCATCTCTTTTTCTTAACTTATTTTTTAATGTTTTAATTTTCTTATATTTCTCTTTTTCTTTCCTTCTTTTCTGTCCTTTTGCAATCATTTATGAATTTTCTTCTTTTTCCTCTTTTATCCTTGGCATGTCTGAAGGCTGACTATCCGAAGGTTGACTATCGCTATTACGACTCGGAGTGTCATAATTCGGAGTCGCACTGGGTGCATAAACATTCGCCAATTGTTCATATTGATTCAAATCTCCACTGTGTTGACTAATCTCTGACATATTGCCTGTATTATTATTTTCTTTCGGAAATAATTCCTGCTCGTATTTCATTCTTTCCATGTCGCGGATCTCTTCTTGATCTCTTCTCGTCATTCTCTCTTGGCGACTCGGTAATGTATCGCTCGTAATGTTATCGTTGACACGTTCAGTAATAGTGGGAGAGCGACCACCAGCTTTGGTGAAGAGATGTATAGGTCGTTGGAATCCTTTGGAAGGATGAGGCGGTATAGAGACGACTTCGCATTGGCAAAAACCGATAGTAGATAAAAGATATTGTGTGAAATTATGCGGCCTGAATTCAATATTATGATAATTTTTATAAATTCGTTCCTAAAATAAAATGTAATAGAAATTAGATATTGATTCAAAAATTTAAAAAGCAACATATGTATACATTTTTTTAGTAATAGTGTACTGTTTGTATGTACTGTACTATTGGAAGCTTTTATTTTAAAAATATTATGACAACCGCACGAAACATGAGATTCTCTACTCACCGTGAGATTCTTTTTCTTGGTGTAACTAGCCCAACCCTGAGGTTCCAGTATGAGGACTCCACCGGGACGTAATTGCGCGTGCATACGCTTGAAAGCTTGTTTTAATCCAGCATCACCAAAATTTAAATGAATCCATTTGGTAATAGACAAGCATAAGATTGTATCGAATTGCGTCTGTTCCGCGCACAAAAGTGAATCATTTTCAAGCACATAATTACCCTAAAATCAAGCACATTTGATAAAATTTAGATCGTATATATAGTTGTAACAAAAATACTCGGCAATGTAATAATAATATACACATATAATTGAATACATTACTTGCACAAAAATGACATTATATGGGAATCCTTTATGTTTATTTTTCGTAAATCCTGGAATATCTACAGGCCCATAACTAATTGGCATTGACATAGGAAAAAAGCTAGCATCTGAAGAGTCCCTTTTGTCATTATCTTCGTTGCTCGCAGGACTCTGTACGCAATTAACATAGTGTTTCACATTCTTCCGAGCAATATTTATCAAAGTTCTATCAATATCAATCCCTGTTACACTTTTGGCACCAAAATCCCTAGCAACTGATAGAGTAATATGGCCAATGTTGCATCCAATATCCAGAATGTCCTTTTGTAAAAACAGTTCCTTTCGCTGTGCAAACATTTTTAACCTAGGATCTACTTCATGATGAGGATTTCTGTATCCATAATATCTATTATAGTTTCCATATTGATATCTGGCATCTTTAAGCCTAAAATTAGGCATAGCATGCTGCTGCTTCTTTTTTTTATCCTGACTGGGCCTATGTTGGGGTCTGGGTTTCCATGCACCAGGCTGTGGAATCACTGGGCTCACTATTTTATCCTTTGCATCAATTTTTCTTAATCTTTTATCTTTTATTTCTTCTAAACCTTTCAATCGTAATCTATTTTTATCTTTCTGTGGACTTTCTGTCTTATTGTCTTTTAAACAATTTTCATTTTGTGTACTTGGAACTTCTTCTAAGCTAATTTTATCATCAGAAAGTCTTTCCGTTGAAGATTTATCCGTTATGTTATTTCCTTCAGTTTCCCTCAATTTGTTTGTTTCATTAGGATCCACCTTTTTGTGTGTTCAGAAAATAAATAATATAAATATTTGACATATATATTCGCGCGTGTGTAATTATAGGAGAAATAAGCATATTAAGTAAAAAAACTTCAAAAATTAAAATAATATAAATTGCAATTCAAAATTACCAGTTATAAATTACTATCTCTTTATAAATGAATATATAAATATGAAAAATCTATTTATAAGTAAATATAAAAGTCTCTCACAACTTACCATTTTTCCTTCATCTTTTCCTGATCCCGAATAGGCTCTCTTCCTCTTTCTATTTCTTCGTTTCGAATTTCTTTTAGTCGGCGAAATGAGCTGCTTTTCATACTCTTCATTATCGTTACAGTTTGTCAAATTCAAAGGATCACAAATATTTGGAGGAATAATCACTTCAATAATCTCTTTTTTATGTTTTGGAGTAGGAAGGGGACTTGATTTTGGAGTCACTGCATTCATAGCACGATTTATTTCTTCATCTTGCATACTATTTAGATTTAAGGGATCACAAATGTTGCCTCCAAGCAAAAATTTTGTGGGAGGGATGATGACGCCTTCCTTCTTTCTACGTTTGTAGGGAGGAAAAGACTTTCCATTGCTGCAGAAGCTGCTTTGAGGTCGCTTTCTATGCAGCTGCTTGAAATAGCGACTGTCATCATGCTTATTGTGCTTTTTGTGTGAGACATTGAAAATCTTCCTAAATTTTTCGGTTTCTTTCTTGTTGTTTTGACTCACTTTTGGGGGACGATCCACTTGTACAGAGGACATTTTGCTGAATCTGAAAAATTATAAAAATAAAAACATCGTGACATAATGTAAACATACTGATATAAAAAAACAATAAAAACAAGAATTCGCAAGTAATAATATATAAAATATTAATTTCTTTATATATACATACATACATATATATATATATATATATATATATATATATATATATATATGCCTATTTGAGTTGTAATAAATTTTTTAAACCATCCTTTTTAAGTTGTGACAATTTTGACGATTTTTTGATAAGTTTAAGATAGTTTATTTTTGATAATTAATAAAAAAATGTTTACCAAACTCATTCATAGTAATAACTCGAAAATTAATGTTTTTGAATTATGTCATCTTTAAAGGAACGATATCATTATTATGTCTGATCGGAAATATGGCAATAATAAGTATCGCATATCACTGACATTATAGCTACACACACACACATATATATATATATATATATTTATACATATACATATATATATATGTGTGTGTGTGTGTGTGTATATATATGTATATATATATTCCATTTTATTTTATTTTTAAAGAAAATGTGATTAAAATAGAATCTAAATGGAACAGAACGTAAAAAATGCTGAAAGAAAAAAAATGCGTATATTTTTTTTACTAGCACTTTCTACACTATTTCAATCTATCCGTAAGTGCAGTTAAAAAAAAATCTATTCTAAATTTCATGTTTTCTACGATTGGGATTAACTGAATGTTCAGCATTTATTCGTTTATTTATACTAAATATTTCCCGGAAACTTTATTGCCTGAAAAGGAAGGTGGAAAAGGTAGTCAAAAAAGACAGATAAAATAATTATTAAATAGTATTTTTCGTAGATTTTACACGCCGGTAATATTCGGCAAAAAAATATCTATCGTCCGCGTGGTGGCGCGCGTGGTGCGTTACAGCGCTACTGTTGCCGCCGGTGCTGCCACCAGCCGCCATCGCCATCGCCGTCGCCGTTGTCGTTGCTACCGACAGCACATCGCGAATTCGCCATATTAAATTTTATAAAATCTTTTCGTCAAAATTCACGCCGCCGATTACGAACATGTATGCTTACCTCGACAAACCAACACTCTCACTCACTTCTCTCTTCCAATCGCTCGTACGACTATCTTGATGATAATCCTCTTGGTGCGTATCGTTGGGAACTCCGACGACCATGTGACACCTACCCATCTACAATGGCGAGTAACTGCTTCTCGAATGCAAGCGACGACCGAAAGCTCGCGCCGCACCGTGACGCCATTTTCCATTAGGATCCACCGACAGGGTCGTATTAACGAATCACGAGAGACCCTGAAGGAATTGACGGAATTGATGAAACTTACAGAAATATATTTCATTTTCAATTTATTACATTTTCAAATTATTTTATAATTTTAAAATTTCAAGAAAAACAATTTATATTTTCGTAACGAACTACGCAGGATATAATTATATAACGTTGCACGAGCTACATAAAAATAATGACTGTAATTTGAGAAACAACTGATTATTATATTTATACTAATGCCTGTTCTACAATATGGTCGCAAATCATAAGCCGTAAGAAATTAATCAATTAGCCCGGATCTACAATAGATTTTTAAGCCTTAAGCTATTAAGGAATGGACGAATCACAGTCGATTATTCTTCTCGCATTTGGCTGTAATTGGTCAGTTTCAGTTTTTTTTACGGCTTAAAACTTAAAACACTTATTGTAGATCCGGACTTAGTAGAATACAAATAATACAAAATAATCGAATACAAAAAATAATCGATTGATTAATTAATTTCTTACGGCTTACGACTTACAACCATATTGTAGAACAGGCTATATACTAGCCATAATCGTACATCATATGCTATAATTTATAAGAATTGACTAATCAAACAGTCAAGTTTCATAGCTTTGTTATAAGCCAAAAAATGTCTCATGGCGAAATTAAATATTCTACGAGACATACGCTTCTATGAGAGAAATAATAAAATATGATTGAACTTGATTATATCTGTTCCGAAAGTAATAGAAGCAGATAATTTTATTTATTATAATATTTTTGAAAGCAAAATTCCAAAATTCGGCTCTATAAATCTTTTACAACTTCGTAAGAAATATAAACTAAAAAATTTTATATCAAAATATCATTCCTACGAAATAAAATTATTAATAGAGTACACACACACACACACACACACACACACACACACACACACACACACACACACACAAACACACATATAGAAAATTATAGTATGTATAGATTTAAGGGCTGCGCACAATGGTACTACAAATTTAAAGGCTGCGCATAATGGAAGAAATATTGAGAAGAGAGGGGAATAAGTATTAAGATTTCATTAGAATTCTTCGTACGAATAAAGTCTATTAAAGAATTTTGGGACGAAAAAAAAAAAGCTGAAGAAAACAGTTTAGTAGGACCTCTGCTCCTCGAGAAGATTTTGCAAGACCAAAGTTACACAAGGTACTATGACTCTGTGAAACGATTGGAATCCATAGAAGGGAAATCCATACTCTTATTAGAAAAAGGAGAATCTATCAGAAACCTGCAGTTACATTGCCACATACGATTTCAAATAAGTTGAAATCTTAATATTTATTTCTAATTATTTATTGCTTAAATTTTTTCTGTGCGCAGGGCCTTACAGAGTACGCGACATATAACCTGAAGTGTGTCATCTATTAGATAAGTCTAATGTACGATCGAATTTTTGCAGCAATGTTAACACGAATGAAAGAATAGTCGTGTTCACACTCGTGTAAACCCCGTTTAGCGTAACAGTGGCGCCTTTTCGCCTGTTAAATTGTCTTTTATATATCTCTCACTACAATCTTCTAAATCTTTCTAGAATATTGAAAAATCTCGGATCAATAGGATTTCAAAATTTGGCGAAGAATGGCCAAGTATCGCGACAATCGTGTATATAACACAAGGCAAACAATACGATTATTCGAAGACCGGGATCGCAAACGTGACATCGTCGCGGAAGTTGCACGAACGATTCCTTGGGTAAGTTGGAATATAATCAAGTTGAGTCAAGTTTTATCAATTTTTTAAATCCAAATTGGTTAATCCTCAAGTTAATTATTAGTAGATATAATTATTTATAGTTAAAAAATAAATTTTATCATATTTGGATTACAAGAAATCTTTTCTCAAAACTTTTGCATTTATCTACTCTTCAAGATAGTTTTCAATATTATATTGAAGTTTTCAATAAAACATTACAATTTGCGTTTAAATTAAATACTGTACACACATACATGTAGATACACATCCTCCCAAGCCAATTTACATATAATGACTTTCAAATGATATTAAATAATGAAAAATTAATATTAATATCAAAGCTATTTTAACATCATTTTAATGTCAGCATGATTTTATTCTGCTTGCATTCGCTCGAAAATAATATACATTTAAAATAAATTTGAATAATCTTGATATCTCTCAATCCTATGCAAATTAAGATAATTCAGATTATGAAATAAAATCAATAATCATATATTAGATTGAAATGTTACAGGCCTATTTTTATTTTTAGAACGAAACGTGGAGTAGCTCCTCACATTCTTCTTACACATCCCAATTGTTCGTAATCTCTCCGACAGTAAAAAGCATCACGCCTATACCTCCAAATGCTCCTATCAAACCGAGGAAACTTTTCTCGAAAGAGGGTTTGAAACCTAAAAAGCTTCGCTTTACAGACGAAGAGAAAGATGAAGCAGAAAACGAACATAATTCTGAAAAAAGCGTAGATTTGTCGACAATGTTCAAATGGAAAAAAGAATTTTTGAAAAAACAAGGAGAATCAGGAAGATTAGATCACGAAAACTTGAATACCATGTTGCAAAGTATGCGACTTGAGCTAGAAAATAAAGAGAATAGGCAATATGGACAGGAACAACATGAAAGGAAAGCGAGTAGTAATCGTTCTATTGCAAAGGAACGTGCGAGAAATAATAATAATAATTCTTCTCAATCGTCAAAATTAAACTGCAGTCCGAAAGGTGAATTTGTACATTTCCGTATATAATCTGCTGGAAGATATTGATGATTACGATTATCATATTATCATAATAATAATAATAATAATAATAATAATGACAATGATGACACGACGATAATGACAAGAATGATGATAATAATGATGATGAAATCAGTGAATTTATGAATTAATGAGTTTATTAAGTATTAAAAAGTTATTCAGTGTAATATCACAATAATAATTAAATTAGTATATTTGTAATTAATTGATCATTAGTGTAAATGTGATTATTAAATCAGTGTATATAAATAATAAATTTATTAATTAAGTTCATTATAATTGTTAGATTGCAATTGTTGTTGCGTATACTTGTATCTATTTTATATCTAAGTCTGATTTCATCCAGTGCTGGATATTACTCTTCCAACCTTTTCCATTCTACATAGTCTTTGAAAGAAAGGAGTTTAGCGTAAAAATACATACACATATA